GCCGAATCTTAAAGCCAGGCTTCAAGCCACAGGGATGCTGGGAGCACTTCCCTAACGCACCTCAGGACACCTGTGATCTCCCCCTGTTCAAGAACACCACATTTGTGGATGGAATCTCAAGTCTGCTACTTTAGAGTGGCTAAACAACCTGGGACAAATCTCTTTCCCTTTCTGTAAAAGTAGGGGGTTGGGCCAGATGGCCTTCAAGGTCCTTTTCAGGCCCAATTATCTCCAATGTCGTTAACCCCACCAGTCTCGCCCATAACACCTGGACCCTTAGAAGGACCCTTAGAATCCAGCCTCATCATTTTAAAGAAAAGAAAAAGGAGGCTCAGAGAGGGGAAAGGGCTTGCTGATGGTCTGCAACTAAGGAGCAGCTGAGCGAGCCAGAGTAAATACCCCAATTCTCAGGCTCCTATTCGGCCCTGCTCCCATGTTGTCTTGTGTTACTAAAGCCAAAGAGAGAACGTCAGGCCCATCTCCTAACGAACTGGAGAGCTGAGGGAGGGCAAGGGCCAAGCCTGATTGTGCTTTGTATCCATCCTGGCCCCTCGGAGGCTCTCAATAAGTCTGTGCAGGTGATGGACAGGCAGGCAGAGGAGCCCCCTGTAAGAGGGGCAGGCTGAGTGGAGCTCTAACTTCAAGCAGCAATTTAAATACTCAAGTGTTTTCTCTGGGGAAACAAGAAGTTGAGCTTTGAGGGGGAGAAGGGGCCTCAGGGTCCCCAGGCAGATAAAGCTAAAGAAAGTCCTTGAGAGCTGCTGGGGATTGGGAGCCAAGAAGATGGGGCCTGGGCCCCTCGGATCCCACGGACTTTTCCAGATTGATTTCCTATCACTCTAGGGCCAGTCAAATTGGCCTCCTGGCTGAGCTGGGCCTCAGCCAGCCATCTCCCCCCCCCAGGGCCTTCACCCCGATTTCATCTCTTGCTCTTCACCCTGCCCCTGGGCCTCTCACGTGCCCTCCCTTCCTTTCATGCCCAACTCTAGGTGAGTGAATCTCTTGTTCCCACCCCAACGCAAGACCAGACACACAGTAGCAGTTTCATAAATACCTGCCCTATTGATGGGCTTTACCCTCCTCTTGGTAGTGAATTCACTTTGGTTCTTATCTTGGCATAGGACATGGAGATTTCCACAGAATAGGCCATTATGGATGCAATCAAGAAGGAATTCTGGAAAGTCACCCAAAGATACATCATTTTATCTGTGGTCCTACTGCTCTTGCCCCTATCGTCTGAAGGGGCAGCCAGGACCTCAGCACAGCCCTAGGACTTTCTGCCTTCAAGGCCAGGCTTCTATCCAGCACAGCATGTACCCAAAGGAGGTAAGGCCTCCTTCCTTTGCTTCCTGGCCACAAATCAAAGCTTCAGCCACCACAGGGGCTGATTCTGCAGGCCAACTTGTCTGCAGGCTCTCTCTTGGGATCTTCACCACTGCAGGGTGAAGCACGGATTGTTAGTTCCCGATGAGAGACCAAGCAAGAGACTCCCAAGAAGGGGTGTGACTTGCCCAGGGTCACACAGATGGTTAGTATTTAGAAGTAGGATTGAAACCTAGGTCATTCACCTTCAGAGCAAGCCATGGGGACTGGGGTTGGCCAATTAGGACCCCAGTTGCTGGCTGGAAAATCTCTCAACTCTCTACCCTGAACTGGGTAGGGGGGCTAACTAAAGTATAGGCCTCAGGAGCTCTAGTTTCTATGACTCCCAGAATGTTTCTTCTCACCACCATTGACAGGGAGGGGTCCTTCTCATACAGTAAAGCATCTCATTTCATCTGTACCTCACCCTTGGGCAGGACAGGAGATAGGGAGGGGCAAGGGAGGCCCAGAAAGGCCAAGAGAGTCACCAGAGTCCCTATCGGGGACTGAGGGGAGGAGAGTGGGGGACAACGCCAGTTTTAGACTCTTTCTGGTCCTTAGCTCTTTCCCTTCCCTTCTGCTGCCCATCAAATATGGCCACCTCAAAAACATACTGTCTGTCCTTTCTTCCTTTCCTTTGTGACTTCCTCTTTCTTTCTCCCCTGCTTTCTTTCTTTCCCTTTGCCTTCTTCCTCTCCATTCTTTTTTTTCTTCCTTTCACTTGGCCCTCTATAAATGCTTATTCCCTTCCTTCCTTTCTTTGCTTCTTTCTTTCTTCCTTCCCTCCTTTTTTTTCTTTCCTTTTTTCCTTCTCCACTAACAAAGGTATGTGAAATTGAATAGAAAAAAATCAGATCTCTTTAGGCCTTTGAAACTACTCAAAACTCACCTCCTCGTTGAAGCCTTCCCGAGACAGGGTCAAGATTATGGCTGATGCCCTTTTTCCACACATGTTTTCACTGCAGGCCAATTAGAGCCTTGGGTTTTACCTCTACATCTTCCCAGGGGCTTGCCTCTGTGGCTAATGGCAGGCCCAGCCCAACGGCCTTCCTACCAGGGCTGTGGCCTGTTTGTGGACATGTGGATGGTGGGGTAAGGGTGGTCTGCTTTCCAACAACTTTCCTGAGCTCCTGAATTCTATTTTCTACACAGTGTTCAGAGGCATGCTACCTTGCAGGGGGGCATCTCCCCATCCACCTAGCAGATACTTGGTGCAGGAAGAAGCTGGTCACTGGCATGTCTCCCATGGGGCTGAGCTGGCCTTGGTGGGGACTGTTCCTGCCTCAGAGGTCAAGGCACACTAGCTATGGAATCTCTCCCAGCAGGCCCCCTTGCAGGCCTTTCTGTTTAGATTTCCCTGTTACTTGTGAAATTTTCCAGGTGAGGGGGATCTGCAGAGAAGGGTGGTTTCCATGGTAAATGGTCTCAGCTGTGTTTGTTTCCCCACATCCCCTTTGAAGGACACACATAATCCCCACCCGAAGGCCTGCTCCTCTGTCTTTCCATCTTGCTGTTGGTGAAGTCAGAGTTCAAAAAGGAACTTCATTAGCCCAGTCAGAAAAGAGGGGCAGAGTTTATTTTTCCAAAAGCAGTGGGCTAATTTGGGGAGGATGGAGGCAAGGTGGTGTTTTGGGAACACCACTGAACTTAGGACAAACAAAGCAGGACAAAGGAATTCTCCTCCTTACCTGGGCTATGAGACAAGACCCTGCTGAGTATGTTTCCTCCTCTGAAAAATGAGGGAGCTGAACTGGAGAGCGCCTGAAGCTCTAGGTGCAACACACACACACACACACACACACACACACACACACACACACACACACACACACACACACACGGAAATTACTGATTTTCTTTTTTTTTTTTAACAAGTTATAAAACCTCTTGAGTGTGAACCGAGAGCTCAGAATCAGGAGTGGGAAATCAGTGAACTACTTTCGGTTTGTCCACCCAGGACAGGAGGGTCAGGGAATGGGGGTTCAAATCCTGCTTCCGTTCTCAGAGCTCACTATCTGCCTGGACCTTTGGCACGCACTTAACCTCCCTGGGGCCCTGCTTCCTCATTTGTAAAGCAAGGAGGCTGTCCTTAGGTGTGTGCCCGGCCCTTGGACGAGGCTGAAGAGGTGGGATCATCTTCTTTTTGGAATTTGTATCCGCATTCAGTACCTGGCACATAGTAGGTGCTTTAAAAATGCTGCTTGATTGACTGATTTTGAGATCCCTTGGGCTCTGATCTTTTGAATCAACGTTGCATCTATTCCCCAAGAATGACCCTTTGCCTTTCTGTGCCTCAGTTTGCCCCATCCTTATAATAGGGCCAGATCTCCTTTGCAATCATCGGTTGGCCCCAGTGGGTTCGAGGTTCTTGTTACACAGATTTAGGGCTGGAAGAAATCATCTGTACCAACCATCAGTAAATACAGATGAGGAAACTGAGGCTAGACTGCTTGTCCTTTTTCCGTACGCATTTGAGCAGGGCACAAGAACCCAAACTCTCCCGTTTTTCGCAGCTACTCTATGGGATGCCCCCACCCTGTGCTGAGCGAAGGAGGGAGGGCGGGGAGGGAGTTGCTGCCTTGGCCAGGCCTTACGGGAACAGCGGCCATGCTACTGTCACACCTCGGCCGCCAACCCCAGGAGCCCGGACCAGGCTTCCCTCCTCGGGCGCCGAGCTCCGGGAGAAAGACAATAGCCTCTTGTTTGCCTTTATTAATTTGGAGGTAGGTTGGGGCGGGGGGGAGGGGGATGATGGACGGCCCCGCGGGCCAATGGGCTGCGGCGCCCGGGCCAAGGCTCACCAATGGGCAGCGGCAACGGGCGGGTAGGCGGGGTTTCCTCCCTCCTGCCCGCCCCCATCCCCGTCCCTAGTCCCCCGTCCCCAGTCCCCTGTCCCCCGCGGCCCCCTCCCCCTCCCTGCCCCCGCGGATCCTCGGCTGCTGCCCCGCCGGGTGGCTTACTGGCCTGGGCCGGGCCGGGCTGGGCCGGGATCTGGCCCGCCTGGGAGGTGGGCACTGGGCGGCGCTCCGCCTCCACTCCCCCGCGGGGACTGCCCGAGGAGGAGCACGGTTGGGCCGGGGCCGCCGGCCGAAGCCCAGCGCCGCAGCACCCGCCGCGACAGCGCAGCGAGCAGCCAAGGAGCACGCCGAAGGGGGCCGGGCCCCGGAGAGCGGCGCGGCGCCCCCGCTTCCCAGCTCCACTCCTTTCTTCCTCTCCTCCTCCTCTCCCCCACCCCTCCTCCTCCTCCTCCTCCTTCCCTAGCCCCGCCGCCCCCTCCTCGGCCCACAGGGCTGCTGCTGGTCTCCGTCCCGGGTGCCCACCCGGTGGATGGCACTGGGGCTCGCAGCACCTCAAGTTGCCACGTTTTTGGGTGCGCCGGGAGGCTCCCCCCCCCCGGAGGCCTGCCGGCCCCCGCCCTCCTCCCTCCGCCCTCTCCTAGTCCCCGGGACCCCGCCGCTCAATTGTTTGAAACTTCCCCGCCCCTTGGCCCCTCCTCCTTCCCTCCTCTCCGCCCCCTTTCCTCCCTCCCCTTCGTCCCCTCTCCTCTCTCCCCTTCCCCTCTCCGCCCCCCACCCTCCACCCCACCGAGCGGCCGATCGGGCCGGACTGGGTCCCTTCTCTCCCCTCCCCCTCCTCCCCCTCCCGCCTCTCCTCCTCCTGCCCCCTGCCGCCCCCTGCCCCACCCCCCTGCCCGGGGGCGGGCCGAGCCGTTCCCCACCAGAAGAATAATAGCCAGACACCCAGTGGTCCTCAGTCTCTCCCTACCTTCGGTCTGCCTGGGTGTCCGCCTCTTCGTCCGTCTGTGGCTCGGTCCGCTCCGTCAGTGCCTTTGCTTGGCTACAGCCGCCCTCGGAGCAGGCACACTCCTTCCCTCTCCGAAGGGCTGGGGTAGTCCCTGCATCTCCGGCCGCTGCAGCCTGCACTGAGCCCACCTCCCACCGCCCGCTGCTGCCCTCCCGGTTCCCGCATCCTTCTCGTCCAGCGGTCCGCGCCCGGAGCAGAGCCACAAGGGCAGAGGAGTCGGCGGCTTTAGGGAAGGCGCGGCGCAGCGCTGCGGCGCCCAGCCCACGGCTCAAGCCACCTGAGCCCGAGGTAAGGAAAGAAGGAAGGCGCAGCGTCACCGGCCGCCTGAGGGCGGGCAGGGGGAGGGGGGCCCCAACTTGTGATGGTGCGAGCGGCCGGGCGTGGGCATCTGTGTGCCTCTGCTAGGATGCAGCCCGGGAGTCCTGTCAAGGCTCAGTGGGTACCACGGCCGGGCCCGGCGCAGGTGGAGCTCAGCTTGGAGTGTCCCCTAGGAGGGATCCCCGGGAAGCCTGGGCCCCTCTGCGCTGCCTCTGTCTCCTTCACCATCTCCTGCACAGCCGGCCTTAGCCCCCTTTGCACACCTTCTTTCCTAGTCTTCCCACCCCACGGCGATGGTCCCTGGTAGCCCCAGCCCAGGAGCGGTCTCGAACTCTCACCCCTGTCTGGGCAGGAACCTGCAGTGCATGTGGCCGAGCCTCCCGGTGCCTCTCCCGCCCGATTCTGGACTTGAGGACTGGATTTGTGAGGAGCCAGGGCTTATGAATTCAGTGACTATCGGGATAGACTGGCACTAGTTCCTAGTTAAGTGTGACCAACAGACAATGAACTTACAGCCAAGGGCAGCCCAGGTCAAATGAGACGGGGGAAGAAAGGGACCCTGGCTGTATGTCACTTTCTCCTCCTAGCAGGCACTTTTAACTTTTAGATTTATCCAAGGCTGTTCGGTTGGGGGGGGGGGAGAAGGAGGAATAGAATGGTATAGTTGTTCCAGATGTTTATGGATGGGGGGGCCCACCTCTCGTCCATAAATCACAGTCATTCTTCAAGGCTGGTCGAGGGGTGCCCAGTGTGGTGGAGTGTCAGGTTCTGGGTGGGAGGCAAGTTTGGGGCTGGGGCTCCCAGTCTAAAGCCATGAGTTTGAATCCCACTTCAGATACTTTCTTACTCTGGGATATTGGATAAGTCATTCACCCACTTTGTGCCTCAGTTTCCTCAACCTGTACCCTGGGGATGTTTCATGCTTCTCACATTTGCCTTCAAGAGTGTGCTGGGAGGCTTAAACCTAGCTCCTGTCCAAGCTGTGTATGTGTGTGTCCAGCCCAGACTAACCAGGCAGCCTCCCTCATTCCTGGAGCCAGGGCCACATCAGGCTAGGCTTATGGCACACATTTAGGGGACACATATTTGGGGGGCTGACTGGACTCTCGTCCAGTCTCCTCAGACAGCACCCTCATCAGGTCACTACAAAGTAGTTTAAAATCTTATTTGGGGCAAAGGAGAGGTGGGGAGGGGCTCTTCACCTCTCTGTTATTTTTAGGACTTGGTTAAGACCATGACCATGGTTGTGGTCCCAGCCCAGCTCCAAGCCTGACCTCCCTCCCTCCCGGAGATATGTCCCATTGCCTTTTAGAGTTTTTCTTTGGTTGACTTGGGGGGGGGAGGGGGAAGGGGAGGGCTAGCACACAAGCAGGCAGGGGAAAGGGGAGGTTATTGGGTGCCAATTTTAAAGGGTATAGCATTTCAGATCAGCTGGAAGAGAAGAGTTGGGCTGACCAAATTGTGCATTTTATAGGCAGCCTGGGGCTCATTAATGGCCAGGTGCTTCTATGCTCTTCTATGCTCCTTCCATTCCCAGCTGCTAACTCCTATTTCAGCCCAAATCGAGAGCCTTGTATTCAATGCCTGCTGGCTGACCTTAACTACCATTTTCTGTACCTCTGCTTTCCACAGTTCTTTTTCTTTGGAGAAGCTGCAGGATCGATGGGAAGGCTCCTAGATTGGGGGTGGAAGGAACCATAGAAGGACATTTAGTCTGACTTCCTCATTTTACAGAGAGGGAAGACTTGGCCAAGGTCACACTCTGATGAATGGCGAAGTTCTTGGTTACATGATCCAAGTATAACTGATTTGAAGTAATTGTTTTCTTTGAAGTAGATACTCAATATCACTCGGACAAGCATGCTTGGGGCTCGTGCTCCCACTCAATCTCAGGCACTCGATAGCCTGCTCAAGCACACACACACACACCCCCTTACACTCTTAAAAGAGCTCTGATTTAATCCACTGGAAGGCACTGATTCCAGCCCTTCTTTCAGGTTTTTGTCTTTGTTGGAAAAAAAAAAGTGTCTTTTAGTACAGAGACTAGTGTAGAAACTCAGAGCATTGCCTGGAGTGTTGGAAAAATAAGTGACCTGAATGTGTCAGTGTCAGGACTGGAACCCAGGACTTAAGGACTCTAAGGAAACCCCTCCATTCGTTAGGGAATAGTCTTTTTTCCTACCTCCGTTTCCTTAAATCTTTTGAAGACATTGCACCTAATGGGTTGAAAATGTTCCTTGTGTCTTTTGAGTGTTGGAACTACCTTGTACTGCCCAGGTCTGTGGGGCTAGGCATGTAACTATTTCAACATCTGACACCTTGTTTTTCCTATTCTGCAAAGTGGAAGTTTTTGAAGCAAAATCTAGTCCAAAGTTTAGGGGAGGGGAATGCTATTTCAGAGGTTGGGGAGTTTTTAAAGTGAGTTAGAAAATTCTTTTTCTAGAATAGGATGAGCCCTAGCTGGGCCTGAAAACAGGGGCATGGACTCCATGACCTCTTGATTCCCACCACCCCTTGAATTAGAGTGGCTGCATCAGCCTCTGTGCTCCCTTGAAGGGCCTGCTCATCCTTGAAAAGGGTGGCTTTGTAATTAGTCAGCCCTTCTTTCTGTCATTCCGCCTTTGATCCAGCTTCTTAAGGCATTCCCCCCTGTCCCACCCCAATTTGGATGCAAGATGAGTTTCTCACACTCTTCCCTCCCCCTGAGACTCTTCAATTTCCCCCCAAGTTCTGCAGTTCTATGGCTGGGGGGATTGAGGGTAAAGGGTGGGGGGCCTATCTTGAGAATGAGTAGAGAAAATACCCCGTTTGAGAAATGCCTGCAGCCAGGTACCCTCCTCCATGGTGACTGAGCATTTGGAATGCATGAGAACAGGCCTCCTTGGGGGCTGCTGAAGAAAGCATCCTTTGCACCCATCAAGCCCAGCTGAAACTCTTTGGAGTGATGGGGGGGAGGTCTTTTAGATGGTGACTGGGCAAATGTGCTGAGGCTGCTGGGCTGGGCATTTCCCTCTTCCCCCCCCCCCATTCAGCTGCTGCCAAACAAGTGACTTGCTAAGTTACAGTGAGTTCCTGCCTGTTCAGAATGTTCTCCCCCTTCTAACGTGTGTGTGTGTGTGTGTGTGTGTGTGTGTGTGTGTGTGTGTGTGTGTGTGTGTGTGTGTGTTTCACCTTTGGCTCCATTCCTTTTCCTTTCTGAATGTCTCCTGACACGTCCCTTTCTCCAAAATCAAGGTCTTCATTCTCTAGTCAGGGGGTGCACATTTCTCCCCCATGGTCATCGTGATGCCCAAATGAGAGAAACCAGGTGAAAAGCATTTGACAAACCTTAGACATTTAACTCAGCCTCAGTTTCTTCATCTGTAAAATGGAGATCACAATAGCACCTATCTCCCTGGGCTGCCCTAAGGGTCAAACAAGACAATTTAAACTTTCCATCCCTGCTATAGAGGCCTTGAAGCAGTCCCCTCCCCCACCCATTCCTATTGATTCCTCTGTACCCTGAGAGGGGAGGGGAGCCATCTCTCTTTGGGGATCTAGTGTTATCTGCTTCCCTCCCCCCCTTATGTTTTGGTGAAGATGAATGCTGAAGACAGGCTAAAGTGAAGCCCATTAGTACACTCGTGGGAGCTGGCCTTTGTATAGAGGGGCCCTTGAGATGCCCCAAATCAGCACTGAGGGGCCCCTGGCTTTGTGGAGGAATGCACTGGGGCTTTGTCTAAAATAGCCAGCTCCCTTTGAAAGGGCCTTGCTTTACACCAATTCAATTAAGCAGCAGCAGCAGCAGTAGCGCTGCCTTTTCAGGGCCACACCTATTGTGGGCCTGGGAGAGGCACCTGGTATTGGGGCCCACTTGGCAAAGTTAGCTATCTAGGGCTTAGCAGCCTGTTTTGTGATACCCGGCCTAAGGGCTCTGGTCTGGGTGACCCAGCAAGATCCTGAGGCAGGCCTGCCACTCCCGGAGTCAAGGACGAATGATCTTTGCTTCCAGGGGTTCCCAGGGAGGGGAAGCTGTGAAGGCTCCCTGGCCTTTTCTGGAAACAAAAGAGACTCCATAGGTTGGGTGATTCAGAACTGGGAGAAGCAGAGTAGGGGGTGGGGGCGCCTGGCAGGGCTGGTATATTCCTTCCTCAAGGAGGCCAGAGCTTTGGAGTTGTAGCACCTGGGATGGCAGCAAATGGGTCACAGCAACTCCCCCACTTCTGAACTGCCATTCTTTCCCAAGATTTTGCGGGGAGCTGAGGCTAGAACAGGGTTTTTATGCCCATTGGGACAGAAACTGAACCACAAAGGGCCAACTTCTTAGGCAATATGTCATGTAATAGGAAGGCCCATTTCTGCCACAGATTCTCTATGGGACCTTGGACAAATCCCTTCTCCTCTCAGGGCCTCAGTTTCTTACTCTGTAAAAAGGAGTTGGAATAGGTGATCTCAGAGCATCCCGTTCTGAGCTCTCAAGTTTGGTCTTACTCCTCCCCACTCTTACCATGTCGACCATAAGTTCCTGCTTTTGCAGTATGAGGCTTGCTGGAAGGAATGGATGGGGCTGCAGAGCCTGGAAAAGAAGATGGGGTTGGGAGGGGAGAGAAGAAAGGACAGGGCCACGGAGGAAATGCTCCACTGTCTTTCTCCTTGGCTAGCTGTCTCAGAGAAGGATTAGGTTTGGTCTGTTTGACCCCAGAGGGAAGAACTGTGAGAGGAAGGGGAAGGTTGCCATGAATCAGTGAGCATTTATTAAATGCTAGAGATACAGAGAAATCACAAAGCAGCCCCTGCCCTCCGGGAGCACACACTGGAATGGAAGGGATGAGTCCATCTAGAGATCTGTTCCAAGGAGATCCAAGCAGACTGATATAAGGTAACCTTAGAGGGAAAGGCACCAGCAGCTAAGGATGGGGAGTGGGGGGGGGGACGGGATAGACAGACAGACAGAGAGAAAGAAAGAGAGAGAGACAGAGAAAGAGACAGAA